GTCAAGACGAGAAAGAGCCACTTGGAGGAGACAGAAATATTACGCAAGATATGGAGCAGCAGAGACCAGCAGACACCAGCAGAGGACAGCAGAGACCAGCATACGCCAGCAGGCGCAGGTGGGGAGGTGGGGGGAAGGGGGAAGAGATAGAGGAGGGCGAGGAGCAGCGGGCAAAGCAAGGAGTGGGAGAGGAGGAGGAGGAGGAGGAGAGGAGGAGGAGGAGGAGGAGGAGGAGGAGGAGGAGGAGGAGGAGGAGGAGAGGAGAGAGAGGAGGAGGAGGAGGGGAGGAGGAGGAGGAGGAGGAGGAGGCGGAGGCGGAGGAGGAGGAGGAGGAGGAGGAGGAGGAGGAGAGGAGGAGGAGGAGGAGAGGAGGAGGAGGAGGAGGAGGAGGAGGGGGGGGAGGAGGGGGAGAGGAGGAGGAGGAGCAGGAGGAGGAGGAGGAGGAGGAGGAGGAGGAGGAGGAGGAGGAGACGAGGAGGAGGAGGAGGAGGAGGAGGGGAGGAGGAGGAGGAGGAGGGAGGAGGAGGAGGAGGAGGAGGAGGAGGAACTGGAGCAGTAGCAGGAGCAGAAGCAGGAGGAGGAGGAGAAGGACGGCTTCCGCCAGGGCGACAGAGATCAGGGGGAGGAGGGGACAGGAAAAGAGCTCCGCAATCACAAGAACGACGATATGCTGTACTTCCGGATCAGTGTGGCAGCTGCGCATGCGGGGTCTTACCGTCGGAGTAATGATTTTGGGCATCAGGGTGGAGTTCAAGCCCACGTGCCAGGATGAGGAACGACACAAACTATCTGATCAAAGAGCGACGGTGGTGTATCAGAGTGGTGACAGCAGCCAGCGACACAGGGCACGGGCGGACTCCTTCTGCTCCCTTGGGGCAGGGTTGGGGTGCTGGGAAGAGGAGGAGGAGGAGGAGGAGGAGGAGGAGGAGGAGGAGGAGGAGGAGGAGAGGAGGAGGAGAGGAGGAGGAGGAGGAGGAGGAGGAGGAGGGAGGAGGCGGAGGAGGAGGAGGAGGAGGAGGGAGGAGGAGGAGGAGGAGGAGGAGAGTGCCCTGGGTGGCAGAGCAGAGAGGGGTGGGTGGGAGGGGGGGCGGGGCAGGGTCAGAGCAGCAGAACAGCGCAGAAAAGGATCACGCGCACCCTGGCAGGATGTGCCAGGATCCTCTCTCCCGGAAGGTGCCGCGCAGTGTGCTCCCATGTTCTGCAGTCGGAGGCGCGGACGGGGGAGCACCAGTGACAGATTGCGCTCCCCGCGCCAGCCGCCTCGGTGGGGTGGGCAGGGCGAGCGCGCCACGTGCGAAATCCTCTTGCCTGGAGCCGCCTCCCTCCCCTGCCCGCTCCGCCCTCCTCCCTCCTCCCCCTCGCCTGGAGCCCTTGTGTTCTCGCCCCGCCAGAGCACTTTCCGGCTGGGGCCCAGGCCCGCCTGGCTGTCCATACACGCCTCCGCACCTGGGGACAGACTCAGGGCAAGCAGGCTGCCGAACAGTCCGTTCGACGGCTGCCTTTTTTGGGGGGCCGTGGGCCACGCGAGCGTGCCGTTGAAGTAGGCGCCCCGCCACCCTGGCTTCTCCAAGGCAAGCGCCCTTTCAGGTTGCTTTCCTGTCCTTACCTTGCCCAGGTTGCCCTTGATCAGGACAGCCTCGCCTTGCCTCCCAAGCAGCCCCCCTCTCCTGCGCATCCTCCCTCTGGACCCCCTCCGTTCTTGGAGTCCAGGTAGGGGCTTGCTTAATGTATTTCAAGTTCTGGGAATCCCATACACTCTCTAAGGATGCATCCCACAGATTTCACGGGTTCCCCCCCCGCCCTTCTCTCCCTCCCTCTCTCCTTCTCCCTCCTCTCTGGTTGCTCACCCTTGCCTCATTGAATTGCCTTGTCGTGACGGATGCACACAGGAGGCCCTTCCCCACCCATGCATGGACGGCTCCCCTGGCCAGTTCTTTCCCCGGGGGCCCAGGCTCTGTCGTGCATGTTCACGCCGGGGGCGTGCTACGACGTGTGCCAGCAAGGAGGCCGCCCGCAGCCGCCGCGTCACCCTGTGGCTGCACGCGTGCTGTGAGTCACTGCGTGCTGCATCTTTCGATGTCTTTGGTCGCCCTGCCGCGCACAGCGGACACACGCCTGCGCCTCTGTCATCCAAGCCCCTGGGGGCTTCGGGGTGGGTGGCCGTCTAAGGTCTAAGTCGTCTCGTGGATTAGATCAGCACGACTCCTGCGCAGGAATGGCACGCACACGCCGAGAGGGGTATACACTTGTTCAATCTGCTGCGCGCCTGGAGGGAGAGGAGGAGCAGGCTGATGGTGATGGTGGTGATGATGCTGATGCTGATGATGATGCTGCTGCTGATGATGATGATGCTGATGATGATGATGATGCTGATGCTAATGATGATGATGATGCTGATGATGATGATGATGATGAGGTGAATGGCAATATCCTTGGATTGATCTTATTGTCACCAGCGTCAAGAGGAGGAGGAGGAGGAGGAGGAGGAGGAGGAGGAGGAGGTAGGAGGCAGGAGGCAGGAGGCAGGATGCAGGAGGTGGTATGTAGCACGTTGGTGACGATGGTGATGACGATGGTGATGATGGTGGTGATGATGATGATGATGATGCTGATCAGGATGATGATGATGATGATGATGCTGATGCTGCTAATGACGGTGATGATGATGACGATGATGACGATACTGGTCATGATGAGGATGATGATGACGATGATGCTGATGATGGAACTTATGATACTGCTGACGATGATCGTAATGATGATCAGGATGATGATGATTCCGACGACGATGCAGGTGGTTATGTCGACTATGCTGGTGATGACGACGCAGACGAATCTTATTACATTGATAATGTTCATGATGAAAGGATGACGATGGTCATGCTGATGATGCTGATGATGATGGTGATGACGGTGATGATGGTGATCAGGATAGCTACACAGACGACTACGATGACGGTGTCGATGACTATGATGATGTTGATGCTGTTGACGATGATGCTGCTGATGATGCTGACGATGATGACGATGCTGATGATGATGATGGTGATGAAGGTGATTGTGAGGATGATGACGATGATGATGATTACGACGACGATGGTGATGATGCTGATGATGATACTTCTGATGATGATGCTGATGCTGGTGATGATGATGCTGATGATGACGCTAATTGGTGCTGCTGCTGATGATGATGCTGATGATGGTACGGATGCTGCTGCTGATGATGATGATGATGATGATGATGATGATGATGAGGATGCTGATGCTGCTGATGATGCTGCTGCTGATGATGATGCTGATACTGATGATGCTGCTGATGTTGTTGTTGATGATGATGATGATGATGTTGATGATGATAATGATGACGATGATGGTGGTGGTGATGATGATAATGATGACGACGACAACGACGACGAGGACTAGGAGTACGATGAGGAGGATGATGAGGAGGAGGAGGAGGAGGAGCGGAAGGAAAAGCAGGAGGAGAAGGAGTGGGAGGGGGATAAAGATGAGGAGGATGAGGAGGTGGAGGTGGAGGAGGAGGAGGAGGAACGCGATGCTGATGCTGCTGTTGCTGATGGTGATGAGGATGAGGATGCGGATGAGGATGGTGATGATGATGCTGGTGGTGATGATGATGATGGTGATGGTGATAATGATGATGATGATGATGCTGATGCTGATGCTGACTCTGATGCTGATGCTGCTGATGCTGATGATGGTGATGATGTTGATGATGATGTTGACGACGAGCGCAAGGAGTAGGATGAGGAGGATGGGATTGCGAAGGAGGAGGAGGATCATAAAATCAATGATAAGGAACAAGAGGAATATGATGGAGGACGCAGAGGAGGAGGAGGACAACGAGGATGATGAGGACTTGGAGGAGGAGGAGGAGGAGGAGGAATCTGATTATGATGCTGCTGCTGACGATGATGATTATACTGATGATGGTGAAGAAGAAGAAGAGGAGGAAGAGCCGTGTAAGTCCAAGTCGCATCAACGATTTTGCAATCAACTCTCCAAGTCCCCCCGTCATACATTCCTCAAAGATCTTATCTTTATTGCTGGAAGTGGCTCTTTAGAAGACAAGCGACTGATAGTCCTCAAATGTGCCAAAACACAATTCCTGGGTATTCGACGCCGCGAATCAACGTGACCGTTGCGTCTTGATTATCTTAAATCTTGCCAGAGCGCCGCTCCGGGGACTTCAAAACAACGCGACTCTTTCGTCCTGACAATCCTAAATCGTGCCAGAACGTTGTTCCTGAAACTTCGACCATGCGAATCCTTGAGACTGTTGCAGGCTTTTAAGAAGAATGTCCGCGGCGTTAAAGCGAGAGCCAAATTCCCCAAACAGTGCTTGCACTTAGGGGTTCCTCTTGTGCTCTGAGGAGCTGGGCTGGTGTGGCGGTCTGGCGGCTATACTGTCGCCGTCGCCGCTCCGTCGCCGCCTCGTCGCCGCCCGTCGTCTGGGCCAGGGTGGCGGTCTGGCGGCTATATTGTCGCCGTCGCCGCGTCGCCGCCTCGTCGCCGCCCGTCGTCTGGGCCAGTGTGGCGGTCTGTCGTCCCCGTCGCCGCGCCGTCGCCGCCTCGTCGCAGCCCGTCGTCTGGGGTGGTGAGGCGGTCTGGTGGCAGTTTCCTCCGTCGCCGCCCCGTCGCCGCCTCGTCGCCGCGCGTCGTTTGGGCCGGCGTGGCGGTCTGGCGGCTATGTTGGCGCCGTCGCCGCCCAGTCGCCTCCTCCCCGCCCCGTCGCAGCCTCGTCGCCGCATAGATAGCGCACCAGATAAATTGCACCACAGAGATTGCACCATACAGATTGCACTGCGTAGACGGCACAGCATTTATTGCTCAACGTAGATTGCAAACATATGCTGTACCATGTAGATTCATAGCACAACACATGTTTCACAGCATATATATATATAAGTATATATTTATACATATATCACTACACATTGCACGACATGTATTCTCCTTTCTAACAATAGGACCCCCCACCCTCCCGAGGCCAGGGTCAACGGTTTACCTTTTCGTATCGCAGTGTGCATATGATTCTGACCCTTCCTCCATCTTGGGTATGAATTCGTACCATCCCAGCCCAACCAGTATCGACACCCCTCGCCATCCGTGGCAAAACCTACTACGTGCGCACACTCGTTTATCAATTATCATCAGTTTGCAATAATCCTATTGCAAAGCATGGGGCGAAGTGCACGCGCGCGTCGTCGCGCGTGCATTTCGAAACTCGTCAAAATCTAAAGGTTTCGGAAGACTTTCAAAATAGTGTGTCCCAGAGGAACATACACAAATCACATGGTTTCGCAGCACGGACTTTCAAAACAAGTGCGCGCGCGCTTGCGAATCCTGAAGAACACCATGCGTTTCCAACATTTTCATTAACATGCTACCAACCGGGCTTCGCGCACGCATGTCGAAATCATTCGAACGCCCTTGCGCGAGTCCTGTCGCAAGAACCCGTTGCAACAATTGGGACGAAGCGCGCGCGCACGAGTCGTCGCGCGCGCATGCCGAGATCCTTCAAAAACCTTAGGCTTCGCAGCGATTTCAAATCCGAGTATCCCGAAGCCAAATAAAGAACATATGGTTTCGCAACATCAGTTCTCAAAACAGTTAGCGCTCGCCCTCTGGCGAGTCCTCAGGCACACGCAAGCCGTACGTTTTTTTTTTTTTTTTTTTTTTTTTTTTTTTTTTTTTTTTTTTTTTTTTTTTTTTTTTTTTTTTTTTTTTTTTTTTTTTTTGTATATATATATATATATATATATATATAGATAAAAACATTTCCAAGGCACTTCTTTAGAGCCACGAAGCGCTGTACTGGGTGGGGGAGACGCATGTGATCTGCGCCATTGGGGCATTCGGTGGGGTTCCATTTGGGGCCACGGAGCGCTGTGCTGGGTGGGGAACACGCATGCTGGCTGCGCCACTGGGGTCTTCGGTGGGGCTCCCTAATGGGCCACGAAGCGCTGTACTGGGTGGGGGAGACGCGTGCGAACTGCGCCATTGGAACCTATGGTGGAAAGCCCTATGGGGTTACGAAGCGCTGTACTGGGTGGGGGAGACGCCGAAACGCTGTGTTGGGCGGTGGAGCTGGGGCCTTCGGTGGAGCTCTCTATGGGGCCACAAAGCGCTGTGCTGGGCGGGGGGGGAGGCATACAAACCCTGCCAGTAGGGCTTTCGGTGGAACTCCCTATGTGGCCCTGGGCGCCCCCCCGCCTCCCGCCGCTTCTGCTGAGTGTTTCAATTCGCCTTGGAAGCGCCCCTCAGTCGCTCGAGCGCTGCTTGGGTCAAGCGGCCGCGGACCAAACGGCAAACATGCTGCGCGACGCTCAGGCGAGAACCACATTTTAAACACCACCCGACCTCCGTCTTTGAAGCTAGCGCGAATGTGCGCGGCCCTAAGGCGACAACCACATTTTGACAACGAGACGGCCCGCCATCTTTGAAGCTGGTGCAAACTTTAAAGACGAATGTGCGCGGCGTTGGGGCGATATCTACGTTTTGAAAGCGATCCGCCCTCCAGTAGTGAAACTTTGGCAAAGATCAAGGGCCAGGATCATAAGTGGCGAGGGGATCTCGGGCGAAACGCCTGGCCTACCTTGGCCGCGACAAGTCTGGGGTGGGGGTGCGACAGGGTGGGTTTTTTTACAAAGGAAACGGATTGACGAAGAAGTCTGGAGGGCGAGGGGGAGGAGGGGGAGGATGAGGATCATGTGGGAGAATTGGAAACCAGTTTGAACCCAAGACGCATCAACGATTATGCAGTAAACCCTTCCTCCACGCTCCCTCTTCACAGGTTTCTACAATGATTCATTTTCGCTGCGGGAAGTGCCACGTTGGAAGACAACCGCTTGAGAATCTTCACTCGTGCCAAAACATAATTCCTGGCATGCCAACGCCGCCAATCAACGTGACAGATGTGTGCTAGCGATCCTGAATCGTGCCAGAGCATCATTCCTTGGATTTCAACACCGCGAAGCAGTTGCGCCCCGACAGTCCGAGTTCGTGCCGGAATAGCATTCCTGGGACGCCAACCATGCGAATTTTTGAAGCGGGTGCAAGCTTTGAAAGGAATGCGCGCAGCGTTCTGGCGAGAGCCACATTAAAAAAAGGGGCCGTCCTCCATCCGTGAAGCTCTAGCAACATTTTAAGACGAATGTGCGCGGGGCTAAGGCGAGAACCACGTTTTGACAGCCACCCGCCCTCCATCTGTGAAGGTCTTGCAATCTTTAGAACAAGTGCGCGCGGGGCTGAGGCGAACATCGCTGGCCTTCTATCCGCGAAGGTCTTGCAAAGTTAGTGCTTCAGGAACAGAAGTGGTGGTGAGGCCTCGAGCGAAACGCCTAGCCCGCCCTACCAACACGTCTCGGGGTGCGACAGGGAGGAATTATCTCTAAGGAAGATGGATGGGTGTGGAGGGGGGGATGATGATGATGCTGATGATGATGATGATGATGATGATGATGATGATGATGGTGATGAGGATGCTGATGCTGATGATGCTGATGATGATAATGATGATGCTGACGATGATGATGATGACGATGGTGGTGGTGGTGGTTGTGATGATGATGCTGATGATGATGCTGCTGATGCTGATGATGATGATGCTGATGATGCTGATGCTGATGGTGCTGATGATGAGGAGGATGAGGATGAGTATGAGGATCAATATTATGAGGAGGAGGATCAGGAGGAGGGAGCGGAGGAGGAGGAGGCGGAGGCGGAGGCGGAGGCGGAGGAGGAGGAGGAGGAGGAAGAGGAGGAGGATGCAGGGGAGGAGGAGGAGGAAGAGGAGGAGGAGGAGGAGGAGGAGGAGGAGGAGGAGGAGGAGGAGGAGGAGGAGGAGGAGGAGGAGAAGGAGGAGGAGGGGAAAGAGGCAGGAGGTGGCGTAGGATACAGGCGGTATGTGGAGTGGGGGAGGAGGTGGAGGAACTCTCCGCCTCCACGCACCGCCTTGCAGGCAAGGCTTTCTTCTGGGTGGCCCTGGCCTTCACCGCGTTCAACCCGCTGCCCTTGCTCCCTCCCCGGCTTTGGGGCGCCGCCTTGCCGCTCCCCCTCTTGGAGGAGAAGGATCGGGGGAGCAGGAGGGTTCGCGCTCAGAGGACGCCCTCCCCCACCCCCCCGTCCGAGGAGCAGTAGGAAGAGGAGGAAGAGGACGAGGAGGACCAGTATGAGTCCAAGACGCATCAGCGATGTTGCAGTAAACCGTTTCTGCAATTCCATTTTCGTAGGTCCAGACAAGAATTCATGTTCATTGCGGGAAGTACCCCGTTGGAAGACAACCGTTTGGAAACCCTTAATCGTGCCACAACGCCGTTTCTGGGACGGCAATGCCGCGAATCACTGTTACTGTTGCGCCCTGAAGATCCCGAATCGTGCCAGATCGTGCCAAAACACCGTTCCTGGGCCTTCAGCATCGCGTATTAACGTGACGGTTGCGCCCTGACAATCCGACTTCGCGCCAGTGTAGCAATCCGGGGGGGGGCGTCAACCATGCGAATCTTTGAAATGGCTGCAGGCTTTGACACGGAACGCGCGCGACGGTCGGGCGAGAGCCACATTTTGAAAAGGAACCGCCCTCCACCCGTGAGGCTCTTGCAACATCTTAAGACGAATGTGCGCGGTGCTGAGGCGAGAGACACATTTTGACAACCACCCGCCCTCCATCCGTAAAGCTCTTGCAAGCTTTAGAACACATTTGCGTGGGGCTAAGGCGAAAAACACATGATACCGGAGAACAAACCCAACCATCATCTTTTTAGGGCTATAGGAGGGCTATGGGGCTATAAGGCTATAGGGTTGTAAGGCTATAGGGCTATAGGACTATAGGGCTATAGGACTATAAGGCTACAGGGCTACAAGGGCTGTAGGGCTTAAGGCTATAGGGCTATAGGGCTATAAGGATATAGGGCTATAAGGGTAAGGCTATAAGGCTATCGGAGATTGGGGGTGTGAGATCGCAGTGGAACGGAGACCCCCAACCGGGAAATCGTTTCGTTTCGTTTCGTTCGTGTCGTGCGTGCGGGCGAGGCGAAGCTGCGAGGGCGCGCGAGAGGAAAGAACCCGCCGTTGCTAGGGCGAAGTCAAGACAAATGATTCTCCCCCTCCCGCCCGTCTGGCGGTGGCCCGCGGTGTCCCGCAGTGTCCCGTGGTGTCCCGTGGTGTCCCGTCGTGTCCGCCGTTGCTAGGGCGAAGTCAAGACAAATGATTCTCCCCCGCCCGACCGTCCGTCCGTTCGTCCTGCGGTGGCTCGCGGTGTCCCGCGGTGTCCCGTGGTTTCCCGTGGTGTCCCGTGGTATCGCGTGGTGTCCCAAAATGTGAGATCGATAGCGAGATCGATAGTGAGATCGACAGATGTCCCGTGGTGTCCCGTGGTGTCCCGTTGGGTGAGATCGATAGTGAGATCGATAGTGAGATCGACAGGTGTCCCGTGGTGTCCCGTGGTGTCCCGTTGAGTGAGATCCATAGTGAGATCGATACTGAGATCGATGTGGTGCCCCGAGGTGTCCCGTGGTGTCTTGTGGTGTACCGTTGAGTGAGATCGACAGTGAGATCGATAGTGAGATCGACAGGTGTCCCGTGGTGTCCCGTTGTGTCCCGTGGTGTCCCTTTGAGTGAGATCGATAGTGAGATCGATAGTGAGATCGATGTGGTGTCCCGAGGTGTACCATGGTGTCCCGTGGTGTCCCGTGGTGTCTTGTGGTGTACCGTTGAGTGAGATCGACAGTGAGATCGATAGTGAGATCGATAGTGAGATGGAGAGGTGTCCCGCGGTGTCACGTGGTGTCCCGTGGTGTCCCGTGGTGTCCCGTGGTGTCCCGTGGTGTCCCGTTGAGTGAGATCGATAGTGAGATCGATAGTGAGATCGACAGGTGTCCCGTGGTGTCCCGTGGTGTCCCGTGGTGTCCCGTTGAGTGAGATCGATGGTGAAATCGATTGAATCAGATGTTGGTTCCCCCCCTCTCCCCCCCCCCACAACCTCCTTCTCACCCGAAGGGTGGTCGTATCGGTAGGGCTATAGGGCTATAGGGCTACCGGGCACCCAGGCACCCCCAGGCACCTCCTGGGCACCCCGGGGCACCTCGGTGCACCCCTGGGCACTCGGGCAACAGGGCACCCCAGGGCACCTGGGCACCCAGGCACCTCACCATATGAATCCGCTAGGACCCCTACAGAGGCAAGCTCTGATAGGGGAATTTTGAAAACGACCCGCCCTCCATCGGTGAAGCTCATGCAAGCTGTTCAAATACGCATTCTTGATGCTTGGCGTATTCCCACCAGCCCGGGCTCGGTCGCTGTGCTTCTCGGCTCGCGCGTTGCTAATTAGATCGGCCCGTGGCCCGGACCTTTCGACTCGGCGCCTGCGCTTCCGCTTGCGCCCGCGAGGAGGCTCGGAGGCTTTCTTGAGGTCTCTTGGAGGGTATCTCGAGCCATGTTCGGCTAGAGGCTGTCGGAGGCTATCCTGAGCCATGCTCAGCTATCTCGGACCATCTCGAGGTTGTCTTGAGGCCTCTTGGAGGTCTGTCGGAGGCTACCTTGAGCCATGCTCGACCTCCTGGGACCATCTTGGGGGTAGGAGGAAGAGGGGCAGTAGGAGGATGAACAATAGAGAAGGAGGAGCAGGGGTAAGAAGAAGAAGAGGAGGAGGAGGAGGAGGAGGAGGAAGAGCAGGAGGAGGGAGGAGGCAGGACATGAGGAAGGAACGGACGATGACAAGGAGGATGAGAAGTCGGGTTTTGGAGATATGTTGCTGTGAGAGTTTCTTGAAGGACGACGAAGACCATCTTAGGGGCTCTCTCAGGGCCCCCGTAGGGCCTCTTGGGGCACTCTTGGGGCCCTCTTCGGGCTCATTTTGGGGGTCTTGGGGCCCTCTTGGGCCTCTTTCGGGGGGTCTGGGAGGCCTCTTGGGGCAATTTTGGGCACCGCTGTCAAAAAGAGGGGGGTAATCAATTTGGGTCCACCCCTCGGAGGCTCAACAATTGCATCTTGGAGCCGTCTTGGGGCGCTCTTGGAGTGCTCTTGGGCGCTCTTGGGGCCCTCTTGGGCCCCTCTTGGGACTCTGTTGGGCCGTCTTGGGGCCATCTGGAGGCCTCCGAAGCATCGGAAGCGAAAGGGTGAGACGGCACATGCACTGGTTTGCCTAGGTCTTTGAATGATTTTGGCTTCGTGGAGGGTGCCTAGGAAGGCTCGGAGGGCGCTTGGAACCGTCTTGGGGCCATCTTGAGGCGTCTTTGAGGCATGTCGGAGGCTATCTTGAATCATGTTCGGTCATTTTGGGCCATCTTGGAGGCCACATTGGGATCCCTGAGGCCCTCTTGGAGCTATCTTGGGCCATCTTGGAGGCCATCTTGGGTTTTCTGAGGCCCTCCTGGGGCTATCTTGGATCATCTTGGGCGCTCTGACCGCCCCCCCTCTTAACAAAGCCAGGGGAGGGGGTATGGGGGAAAGAAGGAGCTTTGGCAGAGAGACGGCACAACTCGTTAAACCACCTACGCCCAGAGGGCTGGTGGGATTCGCGCGGCGCTGAGGGGGAGACCCACGTGTTGACAACCACCCGCCTTGCATCCGTGAGGCTCTTGAGAACGTTTAGGACAGGTTTGCGCGGCGCTTGTGCGAGAGCCTCATTTTGAAAGCGGCCTGCCCTCCACCGTTGACGGAGCTGTACTTATTGAACGTGAGTGTGCGCGGCGCTACGGCGATAGTCACAGATTGAAAATTGCCCACCCTCCATCCGTGAAGCCCTTGCAAGCTTGATGTTTCAGTGTTAGACATGGTGGGAACGCCTCAGGCGAAATGCACAGCCCGCCCTGCCGACACGTCTCGGGGTGCGCCAGGAAGAAGTTATCCGTAAGGGCTTCGCCCCCTGCCGCCGGCCCCCTGTCTCGGAGAATGGGAAATGCAAAAGCTAAATCATGAGGTCTGGGCGCCGCCGTGAAGCAGTGTCGGGACCTGTTTGTTTTTCGACCCTGACCTTACGGATTTGCGTGAGGGGTGCCGCCGAATTTCATAAATGCAGCAAATCCCCTGTGTTTTTGGAACCTGACCCCGCCGATCTGCGTGAGGGGTGCCGCCGAATTTCAGAAATGTGGCAAATCCCTTGTGTTTTTGGACCCTGACCCTACGGATCTGCGTGAGGGGTGCCACCGAATGTCAAAAATGTGGCAAATCCCTTGTGTTTTTGCACCCTGACCCCGCCGATCTGCATGAGGGGTTCCACCGAATGTCAGACATGTAACAAATCCCTTTGTTTTTGAACCCTGACCCCGCCGATCTGCGTGAGGGGTGCCACCGATTTTCAGACATGTGGCGAATCCCATGTGTTTTTGGACCCTGACCCCGCCGATCTGCGTGAGGGGTGCCGCCGAATGTCAGAAATGTGGCAAATCCCTTGTGTTTTTGGACCCTGACCCCGCCGATCTATGTGAGGGAGGGGTGCCACCGAATTTCAGAAATGTGGCAAGTCCCTTTTGTTTTTGCACCCTGACCCCGCCGGTCTGCGTGAGGGGTGCCACCGGATTTTAGAAATGTGGCAAGTCCCTTGAGTTTTTGGACCCTGACCCCGCCGATCCGCGTGAATTTTTACCCACCCCAGCAATTCAGACAATACGGTTTGAGCGTGGTAAAAATGCCCGTTCTGTGCCTCCTCCCCTCGCGCGGTCCATCAACAAGGAACAGTAAGGAGCAAGAAGCCAACAAGGAACAGTAAGCAGCAAGAAGCAGAACTGTAACAGTGCGAACTGGAAGCTGCAACTGGTACAGGAAACTGCGAAGCTTAGCCCTACAGCCTGCTGGCCCCACAAGGGGGCCAGCGAATCTATAAGGAAAAAGGGTTGATGATGAGGAGGCGGAGGAGAAGGAGTGTCAGGGTGTCGGGGAGGATGGGTAGGAGGAGGGGGGGGGATAGGGAGAGGGGGAAGGGGAGATGATGACGATGATGCTGATGATGATGATGATGATGATGATGATGACGATGATGATGATGATGATGATGATGATGATGATGATGATGATGATGATGATGATAATGATGATAATGATGATGTTGACGATGATGCTGATGATGACCATGACGATGATGATGGTGATGCTGATACTGATAATGATGATGAAGATGGTGATGATGATGCTGATGCTGATGCTGGCTGCTGATGCTGATGCTGATGATGCTGATGATGCTGATGTTTCTTATGATGATGCTGATGCTGGTGATGATACTGCTGATGATGATAATGACGATGCTGATACTGATGATATTGCTGATGATGCTGCTGATGATGACGATGGTGTTGACAATGATGATGATGATGATGATGATGATGATGATGATGATGATGATGATGATGATGATGATGCTTCTGTTGATGATGACGATGGTGATGATGATGATGATGCTGATGATGATGCTCAGTGTGGTGATGGTGGTGATGGCGATGATGATGATCCTTGCGAGGATGGTGGTGATAACGACGATGCGACGGCGGCGATGACGCGGATGTCGATCATAATGTTGCTGATGATGATGACGATGACGATCACGAGATGATGAGGATAATGAGTATGATGATGATGCTGATGATGACGATGACGACGCTGATGCTGCTGCTGATGCTGACGATGCTGATGAGTCTGATGAGTATGATAAATATGGTGATTGTGATGGTGATTGTTATTGTGACGGATAGGAATGCTATGATGGTGTTGGTGATGATGGTGATAATGATGATGCTGATGATGACGATGATGATGATTATGATGATGCTGATGACGATGCGGATGATGTTGATGATGATGTTGATGTTGGCGCTGACGCTGATGCTGCTGCTGATGGTGATTATGATGATAGCGATGATGATGATGCTGATGTTTCTTATGATGCTTGTTGATGATGCTGCTGATGCTGATGCTGATGCTGATGCTGATGATGATGATGATGTTGATGATGATGTTGATGGTGGTGATGTTGGTGATGATGATGCTGATGATGATGCTCATGATGCTGCTGATGACGATTACGACGATGATGATGCTGCTGCTGATGATGATGATGAGAATGATGGTGATGATGCTGATGCTGATGCTGCTGCTGATGATGATGATGATGATGATGATGCTGCTGCTGCTGCTGATGATGATGATGATGATGATAATGATGATGATGATGATGATGATGATGATGATGATGATGATGATGATGATGATGATGATGATGATGATGATGATGATGATGATGATGATGATGATGATGATGATGATGGGGTGGTGGTTGTGGTGATGATCGGGAGGAGTTGGATGGGGGAAACTTCTTCTTCCCTCCCAGGGAGGAGCATCTCTAGGAGCCAGCTGCGACAGGGAGAACGATGGAGAAATCCACAGGACTACCCCCTCGGCTCAGTTGGGGAGGGGGAAGGGTGCCGTCAAACTTCTCCATCTCAGGACGGAGAGTTTTCGCCAGGACACGCCCTCGGGCAGCTCTTGACGTCAGAGGACCCTGCACAAGCGTCAAAAGGGTGCTGCAGTTTGACGCGCCACGATAGGGAGCAGACGGGAGAGGGTGTGGGAGCGGAAGGGCACGTTGCCCTCCAGATTGTGGCCAGAGCGCACCGGGATAGGTCCGGGGGAGGCGGGCAGCACGCAGGGAGGGGCAGCAAGGGTGTCCGCGGTTCGGTCGTTTCGGCTGCGTCACGGTCGCTTGCGTCCAGTCGGCTCGGTTCGGTCGGTTCGGTCGGTAGTTGTGTCGTTGCTGCGACGCCGCGCCGTTCTAGGCTGCGTGCGCCCTGTCGGTTCCGTCGGTTTTTGGATATGCTGTGGCTGGCCGTGGGTCGCCTTGGGCAGGGTGGTCGGCGGAGCTCCACCTTCCGCACCTCCCGCGCGGCAGATGCCGCGCAGCGGCCGCCGCAATAGCGGCCGCAACAGCGGCCGCCGTCGAGGCTGCAGCGGTGGCCTCGGCAGCCGCTGCGGCCTCGCCGCAGCGGC